AATGCACATTCTATACCATGTAATTGGCACTTAAGACAAAGTGGTTGAAAATAAACGTGGTCCCTGCTTTCATGGAATTTAGATTCGGAGATCAAAATTTAACTTGAACTGCTGGGTATAGCATAATAAAACCAAGCATATCTAAACAAAAACAACCTCGCCCTAAAGGTTTTGGATTGCAAAAGTATATTAAAATTCCTGTGCTGCAAAAATGTATTCAAGTAATTTTCATGGGTAGTTATCTGCTGGACCCCATTAAAACACAGATTCAAAGAAAGAAAATATTTAGACACTAATTAAATGATAGTCATAGTTACAGCTGATACACGTGCTGTGCATACAGAACATTGCCACGTTTGCTAGAGCTCATCAATATGTCTGAATACTCACACCCATCACTCAAGGGCAGCTCAAACAGCAAAAACTTGATAGAATGAACTTCCCTGTATAATAGGCCTTGGCTTTGAGTTGCTTGACCGAGTTCACATGTGAATCAGGTTGTTCCTCATGGAGGATCTAAAGTTAACAACTTGTACTTGGAAAATTATTCTGTCCACTAATTGTACCTCCTCATGGATGGAATAAAAGGTCATTGTGACTTAGTTCTAACAGCCCTGACTGCAATCAATGAAGGTTGATTTTTGGCTTATTGTTTTTTCTTTCTTGGAAAATTTCATCTTCATGACTGCACAGTATAAGCAAAACTAGTGCTAGTAGCTTTTCACTTGTTGACAATACAGGATGCCATCAATTCCAAGCATTTGTGATGTATTGGGTCCAAATATTGCTTACAAATTCATCATCGGGGAAAAAAGTTTACTTTGTGGCTTTATTGAAGTTCTTGCTACTCTTGTTTTTGGACACAACTAGTTTCTCACTACCTTTCAAGCTTTCACAAAGCTAGGGAGGCAACACTGCTTGGCACTCGCCTGAGGGAGCCGTTCCCCCTCACCCCTTCCCCCCCACCCCTCCGTGGCGCGGAAGCCGCAGGAGCAGCTAGTAAACAGACATCTGGCTCACAAAAGCAAATGGTATCCTGTTCCTCTGAACTGGGCCCTCACAGGGGTAATCTTATTGTATCTGAAATCTACAAAAATAAATTCCAACCCAATAGAAAGCAAAATAACTTATTTTTCTAGCCCTTCGCACATCTTCTTTCATCTCTTTCCACAATTTCCTAATGTTTTTAGGTTTTGTCCAAAATAAGTGATTCCTTTCTCTGGATTACAATTTATTTTAACTTCTGAAAGTAAACAGTGATATGGTAAAGTTTAAGACATGTAGGGCAGCCAAATGATTATTCCACTCTGCCCTTAGTCACTAAGACAGTGATTCTTAAACTTAAGCCTGCATCAGAATCACCAGAGGGCTTGTTAAAACACAGATTGCTGGGCCTGACCCCAGGAACTTCTGATTTGGTAGGTCTGGTGTGGACCTGCGGGTTTGAATTTCTAACAGGTTCTCAGGTTTATGCTACTGGTCCTAGGAAAATCCTTTCAGAGCCACTACTTTAGAGAAAGGTGTTAGAATACTAAAGAAAATGGAAATGTTGACACAAATCTATTATGTGTAACCTGAACCATAGCCTCTGTGGTGACCTGGAGGACTTGCCATTTTCCAAGGTATTAAGAAATAGGTTGGAAAGACAAGTATCAAATGATTTCACTCATCTGTGGAGTGTAAGAACAAAGAAAAAAATTCAAGGGAGCAAAACAGCAGCAGACTCACAGAACGCAAGAATGGACTAACAGTTACCAAAGGGAAAGGGACTGGGTGGGAAGGGAGGGAAAAGGGGAGGAAAGGGGCATTACGATTAGCACACATCATGTAGCAGGTGGTGGGGGGTGCGGGCACAGGGAAGGCAGTATAGCACAAAGAAGACAAGTAATGATTCTATAACATCTTACTATGCTGATGGACAGTGACTATAATGGGGTATGTGGGGGGGACTTGATAATGGGGGAGTCTAGTAACCATAACGTTGCTCATGTAATTGTACATTCATGATACCAAAATTTAAAAAATTTAAAAAAAGAAATAGGTTGGGATGACGATCCCAGCATCTATGATGAGCCCTGTGGTGGGTGTCTGCTGGATTGGATTTTCGAAGTAATATTGCAGGATACCACAAAGGATTTGGATTATGCCACAAGAAGGTAGTAATGAGATCTTGGAGTATTAGAGGTCAAGTGACAGTGCCAGACTTTTGGATATAAGACAAGTGACCTTTCCACAGTAAGTCACAGGGATGGAATGGTCACGAGGTTGTCTTGCCCCCAGGGTCTGTGGTGATGGCTCACTCATCATGGGATCAATAGAGTGAAGTAGATGGGCAGCTTACTAAGGTGCCACTTGACAGAGAGAGAAAATTAAAGGTCTTCTGATCAGAAAACATAATTTAAGTCTCTGAAGGGATTTGTAGTCTTTTCCAGTTTCCAAATCTAAGCCAGCTCAGAGTTTGAACAGAACCCGGTCTCTTTCAGGGAGCCCCCAACTCTTCCACCAGTATTTATCATGGATTTTCCTTCAGACCTTCCCTAGAGTCTGTTTAACGGTTGACTCTGCCTTGCGGAAAGGCAAACACCCAGGACTTCTGGGAATTATATGAGACAATCATTCTGAACTTACACTGAAGCCAGAGACCAGAAGTACCACGGTGGTATCTGCCAGTCAGGGTTTGGGCTTATGGAGGTCAGAGGCTGGATGAAAACTTGGTCCAACCCCATAAACACGGGGTCAGTGTGGTAGCCAGTTTCTAAGGCGGCCCTAATGATCCTTACCTTCAGGTATTTATTTGCATGCACCAGTAGAATATGACAGAAGTGACCACTGCTGAGATTAGGTTATAAAAGACTGCGCTTCTCTCTTGGGCTTTGCTCTGGGGGAAGCCAGCTGCCACATCTTGAGGAATCCAAGCAGTTTACAGAAAGGAAAAAAAGTGAGGTATCTAGCTACAGCCAGAGGGATTAAGATTAGCCAACCAACCACGAGTAAACTTGGAAGCAGATCCTCCAGCCTTCAGATGACCACAAAACTCCAAGCCAGAACCATCCAGCTGAACTGCTTCTGGATTCCTAACCATGGGAACTGTTTATTATTTTAAGTTGCTCAATTTTCAGTAATTTGAAATGCAGCAAAAGATACTAACAACAACACCCACCATACTGGGTTATTTGAAGCAACTGCCGGATATAATATTATTTCATCTAAATATATTTTGTTGTGAATTTCTAAGAGGTAATTTTTCTTTTCTAAAGATACCACATATCGTCATCACACCCAGAAATGAACAATAACTGCTCAATATCATCAAGCATCCAGTGTATCCCGTCACTGTTCGAGTTTCCCTGATTGTTTAACAAATTTTTTTAAGCAATTGTTCAATTTAGGATTCACATAAATTCCATACAGTGCAATTGGCTGTCATGATTCTTTTCATTTATAGGCTTTTTCTCAATTACTGTTTTGCCCCTCTATAATATATTTGTTGAATAAATTAGGTCATTTGCCATTTCAGATTTCCCATACTCTGGATGTTGCTGACTACCTTCACATAGTATCATTTGATAAGCTCCTTTTTTGTATTTTCTGTAAATTGTTAGTTAGAGACTTGTTCAAACTAAGGTTTATTTGTTTGTTGTGTAAGGAGGCATTAGAGGTGTTCCTTTTAAATTTTGAATCATGTGAATATGTGGATAAATAAGCATAAATATATTCTTAATAGATGGATTTGATCCTAAAACTAAAGACCCTGTGTGTTTCCTTTCATTCAAGTAACCTGAGTATTGGAATACAGTTTCTTATATTCCAAGTTGTACTCATTTTCTTTCTACAGCTCTTAGTAAAAGCGTATTTCACAAAGATATAGCTGGACTATGATATACTGACCAACGTCAATCTTAGAGCTCCTTTAGCATTCTGTAGTTTATTTAACTGAAATATCTTCCATCAAATCCTTGGCAAAACTAGGTGAAATTTCTGGAAATCGCTTAAGATTTTCTCCTGACAAGGGATTTGTATGTCTAAAATTTTTAAAATTTTATGTGCCTCATCAAGGAATAATTATTTCTTGAGCCCTGTGTGACATGGTTTGGTAGCACATTCAAGATGGTTTTGTTATAGTAATTAAGGAATGGAGAATAGCTGTCCTACCATCATTCCTAGAGTTAATCAAAATGGAACGTATAGATCAGATAACAAATAGAGTATGATAGTACTCAGTGATACTGTGTGATGCAAAATAGGTGGGAATTTGGTCATATTTCTTTCTATTCTATAAGTCATCCTTAGGTGAGATAATCCAGATAGATGAAAAAATACACTAAGACACTCTTGATTGCCTATCCCACAGCCATTTCTGCCTTCTTCCTTGTACAGAACCCTGATTCTGTTTGTTGTATAACAGCCCCAGAAATTGAACCTTGTTTGCTCCAAGCCATGGTTTCCAGTAGTGATTGCACATTAAATCCCTGTGAGAGAATTTTAAAAATATTCATGCCAGGCACCACCCCAGAGCAATTAAAAAAGAATCTGTGCAAGTTGGGCACAAGGGAAAATATGTTTTAAAAGTTTCCTGGGGTTCCTGATATGCAGCCAGGGAGCTGGACCACTGGTCTAAACCAATCATGGCAACCCAGCCCCTTTATCAGCAACCAGAGGACGGTATATAACCCTGTTCTGACTGATGAGACTTACAGAGAGTTCTGCTAGAGGCTTCTGGTAAAATGTGTCATCCCTGAAATAGGAGAAGAATGTAAAGAGAAAAGTTTATTTAGTGCCAATACTCCTTCTCCATGCTAGGAACAATGTCGTATGATGTGGTAGCCATTTTGCAACGACGAGGAAAGACATTGTTGAAACAGTAAAGATGGAAGAGGAGAAAGATCAAAAAAGTCCAAGTGTATCAGTAGGAAAACAGAGCCACTGTAAATAAATGCAAAAAAACAAAAGGATTTATTATGAGAATTAGACCTTACACAAATATAAGGAGAGTTGCAAAAGTGAAGGTCTGGTAAGGGAATCACAAGGTCAGAGATTTGTCCCTAAACTAATCCCAAGCAAGCACTAGCCTAAGTGGACAAATTGGAACTGGCAGAGAAATCCAAGAAACCAAACTCAACGTCTTGCCAAAACGGGACTGCAGAGGGAGCATTCACAAAGAGGTTTCTTCAAATTGCCACCTCTGGGGAGAGAGCTGCCTTTGTGTAGCAGATCCATCTCCGGGTCGGCTGCAAAGCATCCCAGTGGGCCAGGGCTGCTATTGGTTAGCAGGACCAGCAGGTGGCAAGAGAGGCAAGGCACAAAGCGGGCTCGAGGACAGACTGGATTCACCAGGCATCTCTGCTACTGTTACCCAGTTTGACAGCAGTGACCTTCAGAACAAATGTCTTCAGTTTCATGCACCTTCCAAATTTCATTCAAATTGTTCTTTTCTCCAATTCTATCCTGGAACCATATGGGAAAGGGAATTCTGGGAAATGTAGTTCCCAACCTCAGCCAAGAAATGGGATAAACAAGCTGTAATCCTTTCGGAAAGTCTAAATTTGATAGGCTAAAATCAGTAGGAAAGACAAATTTGGAGATGATACCAGTTGACAATCCCTCAAAACCTTGCCTTTGCCTAATATTATAAGTGAAAAACAATTTCTTTAAACTTGTGGTTCCATATCTCTTTTTGGCTGAGTCCTGGTACCTCTTTCTGACACAAATAAATTTATAATAAGCACAGACTACAAACAGTAATGGAATAGGGACAAAAACTCAAACACTAAGAAGAATTTTTTAATGAACTAACTTAAAATTTAAAACAAATTGATATTAAAAACAAATACTGATACGAATTAAAAACATTCAATAAACAGGAAAAACGAAATGAAGTGGGAAATAAAAACACGTTTCTATTTGTAAAGCTAGGTGGTAAAATAAGAGAGTATAAAAACGGTATCAAAAGCAGCATAAATTTGGGCAAGGATATTAATTAAAACAGTTAACTTAAGCAGGATTAAGTCATCATTGGAATGAATTATAATTAATTCAGATTTCTAGAGGCAACTAATGCTGAGAAAAAGTTAAATTGATCCCATTCTAACCAAGGTAGATGACAATTCTAGTGGAGGTTTTAAGAAGCCCTCATTATGCCAACATACCTCCATTGAGTATTTTTGTAAGACCAACATGCTGTGTCTATCATGACTTTCACAAATTTCCCTGGTTTGGAAAATTCAAAAGGAACCTGGAGAGAGAAGAAAACTGCAAAACTTACAGAAAATATTTTACAAAAAATTTTGGAACATTGACTAGCTAATAGAAGTAAATACATGGATTGGTGTCTACATACAATATTTATTTAAAAATTAGTGTGCCCTCAATATATTTAAAAATATCAGTTGAAAGAGACTAAATAAGCAATAGCTTTATTTGAATGGTAAACTGGCTTCAAACAGGCTCTGAAGAGGCAGAGAAAGACAAATACCATATGATTTCACTTCTTTGTAGAATATAAAAACAAAGCAAAACAGAATGAACAAAACAGCAGTAGACTCATAGACACTGAACAGTGACTAGAGGTTACCATGGGGCCTCAGAGGTTAGGCAATAAAGGGGTACAAAAATTCTCAATCATAAATAAGTTTGTCCCGGGATTAGTAGTACAGCATGGAGAATATAGTCAATGATTCTGTAATCTTTCTATGTTGACAGATAGTAACCACATTAGTGGGGGTGAGGATTTGATAACATGGATAACTGTTAAACCACTGTGTTGTATACCTGAAACCAATATAAGATTGTATATCAAGAACACTTAAAGAAAAAAGAAAAAAAAGAAAGAGAAAACAGGCTCTGATGGATCTGCCACGCCACTCCTTGTAAATATCCCCAGCCTCTCTCACTTTGCCCCATGAGAATAGTCTCATCTACAGATACACAAAGAGACACAGAAAGTGGTAATGCTGGTTGCATCCTGGAAAGGAAAACGGTATCTTGAGAAGAAGTAATGAGAAAAACCTCAGACTATTCCTCTTGCTGTCTACATTGTAAACATCATACCTTATGAATATATTATGTATTCAAAAATAATTTAAAAACCAACCTTCCCAGGCTTTCAGCTTCAGAGGCTTTGGCGACCACCTTAAGGAAGAAAGCAGTCTTCAAAGCCAGGTCACCCTCCTTCGGCTTTCCTCCTGTCCCAGGTCTTGGCCCACAAATTCTCACTTGTTTAGTTGTCCTCCCACACCTTCAAGCTGATTATTTTTATGTCCACCCGAATCTCAGCTTTTAAAATTGTGTTTAGTGGGAAAGATGGACCAAAGTGATCTAGTCTTATCAGTATCTGCAGCAGAACTTCTACAACCTCTGAGCCAGAACTTCTGTATCTCCAAGCCCTCTTTGAAGTGGAAATATTATTGCACTTCCCAAGTTACCAAGACCTTGGCAAATGCAACATGTTTATCAACAGGTGTTTGACTTTATTGTCTCCAAAAATAAGATAAAAACAAGGACAAATGAAGCATATTCAATTCCACAGACATTTGTTTGTAGCCAACATTCACTCTGTCTACCATAAAACAGGTCCTCTATCAAATGCTAATTAACATACCATCTTATTTAATCTTCATAACAAGCCACTTGATACTTAAAATCAGTCCTATTTTACAGATAGAGAGCTCTGTCTCAGAGATATAAAATAGTTTTCTCTGGGTCACATTGCCAATGGTTGGTAGATCTTAATTCAACTTCAGCTTTGATGATTGAAGTGAGTAATATTCTCCACATATTGCCAGGCTCTGCAAGACAGGGTACTACATCCTAAATCAAAAAAGAGTAATAAGAGCATTAAACAAACCAACAAACAAAAGCCTGCTATAATGTTACTTAGTTTGGTGTTTTCTGTTCATAATATGTTGATGTTTTGAAGGTATGGGTTTCGCAAGACAGAGTTTGTGACTAGGAGAAAAAACTATCCTGACGAATAAAAGCCCCCTCAAAATGGGATTATTATCTTACACCTGCTTTTGGATAATGCCTCCACTATATTTGTAGAGCTCAATTTGTTTTTCATTTCTCCAATAGTTGAAGACCCCAGCTTCAAACTCAATCCTTTACCCACTTCTCAGAACCACCAATCACTTTATTTAAGCATTGCCAGCTCTAATTTCAATGAACTCAGATCAAATCCCCTTCAACACTTCTCTGCTAGGATAAAAACCTTACCGTTTTACACCAAGGTCCCAGTTCGAGTCACCCTTGACTGCCTCTCTAGCACCTTCGATCTTTCTTGGGGCATTTGTTCTTGTCAGTCCCCTTCCAAGACCTGGATGTGTGCCCCTGCATCTCAAGGACTATCGAACTTCTACCACAACCGAAGAATGCCTGCCTGCCTGAGCCTCTTTATGTCACTCATCACAGACCCGTGTTGTTTTGTTCTATTTCCTACCTGCATCTCTCTAACAGCCCCCACCCCCAACACACACATGTAGTGATCAATTGTTGTTCCACTTCACTCTCTTCTGCACTGAGATACCCACTAAGTTGCATGTACTTTTCCCTACACTGTCCAATGAAGCTTCTGCTTCACAAAGTTATGTGTAAAAATGTTTTATCTCTTGGATAAATGGATTGAACAATGACTCTTGCTTTAGAAATAAACCTATTTAAACTATTCTTCATCTTCTCTCTACTGCTAATGCTACACATTACAGTAACCAGAAAAATAACAACAGACATAATCATAATCACCACCCTTATGGAATTCACAGTAAAATAAGAGACAAAGGCTCCCTCAGGGGGCAAAAGGGGGCAGAATGGAAAAGTGCCTTTGATGAAGAACAGGTAAGTACCATGGAAGCAAAGAGAAGGAAAAGTATTTCTTCTAAAAGGAACAACTGCACATGACTTACTGAGAGAAACCATTTTTATATGTGGAGCCATCATAAGAGAACCCCTTTCTCTCTGGTGGGGACCAGTAGCAGCTAACAGCTCTTCTCCCAGGCAACCCTGGGAGTGGTGTGGGGGCCCACAAGCAAGGAAGAGCAACCCAGTTAGTAGGGAGAAAGGAGGAAAAGGAACCGGGGGCTGGAAGGAGGAACACCCTAATGACATTGAGTCCCTGGATACTGGCACCTATTACCTAGTTGTACTGCTAATCTCAATAGAGTTTGTTTGCATGCACCAGTAATTTCCTTTTTTGTTTGCCTAAATTAGCTCCCTAAACTGAGATTTTAAAAAATTATTTACAAACAAGAATTATAATGAATCCTATTAGACAGCTACTCTTCTGAAATTTACCCAGTTACTAATTACATCTGACTTAACTAATATTAACTAAAGATTTAGCATCACAGCCTAATGTTTTAACTTTTCTAAATGTTTGACTGTTCATTTTAAAGTTAATTTTTAATCCTTCTTTGGCAATCCTGTTTCCTAACCTTTCTTTGAGGGTTAATACTCCACAATTTGAAGGATGAGAAATAGTAATACTTACAAAGGATTCGTAGGACCATTAGGATATTCAATACTTTAAAACCAAACACATTTATTCTCCAAGAACATGGTGACTAAAAAATCCAGATAAGCAGCCTAACATTTTGAAGACATCGCATTGATTTTTATACCAAAAAGAAAAGCCTATGGTTCAAAAATTGAAAGTATGTTAAGCTTTGAAGCAAAACTCCATGGGAATGTGTTATCTGAACTGCTCTATAAAATAGGTGTATTTCCTATTTGTAGGAATAACAATGACTGAAATGCAGGGGTCTGCGCTACTGGCTCATTTTCCCTAAACAGCGTTTTGATGTTGGGATGAGAGCGTGCAGCTGCTTCAGACTATTCATTTATTCAAAAACTCTGATTGTCCCTTTGACAAAGCACTGCAGGGTCCAGACCAGGGCACTGCGACGTGGAGAGAAGAAAGTGGAAGCTTTCAATTGGTACTAATAAAATCTGAGAATTTGAGGTCTGGCAATTCTCCACCTTCCCTTCTCCACGTTTCACTGACTCATTGTGTTGTGAAAAAGCCACCTCCAAACTTAGCAGCTTAAAGCAACAATCATTTTCTTATCTCTCAAGGTTTCTGTGGATCAGGAATTCAGGGAGGGTTTGTCCAGGTGGTTCTGGATCAAGTCTTTAATGCAACTGCTGTCAGAGAGTGGCTGGCACAGTGAAGGGTTGACACAGCTGGCAGCAGGTCAGGGGTTCTTTCCCTGAGCCATCTCAGGGTCTCTCCATGTCTCCAGGGGGCTTGGTTGAGACTTCCTCACAGCGTGGCAGCCTCGCAGCAGTTAGACTGCTTCCGTACGGGTGGCATCCTTCAGCAGGAGCATCCCAGGGGGTCAAGATGAACATGCGTGGCATTTCCCTGCCATACACTTTGATCAAGGCAGCCAAGTCACAGCCACCTGCCCAGGTTGGAGAAGGGAACGCACAGCCCCCATTTCTCAATGGAAGGAGAGAAAAAGTCATGTTGTAAGAAGAGCACAGGCATCAGTCACATCCCAACAGCAGTAACCATGCCTATAGTAAAGTCGTAACTCCCACTAATTCCCTCCTAGTCCTGCTATGAAAGTAGCTGGAAGCAGTGACTTTTATTTTGATAGAGATCCCTACAAACCACAGCCATCATTTTTCAGTCTGTGTATCTGCTTTTCCTATTTTATGGCATATGTACATAGACAGACCATAATAAATGCTTAAACATTAACAGTTAAACAAGCACAAAATTATCACAGAATAATATCACAGATTTTTATTAGCAACTTCATGCTTTCATTGCCTTTTGTATATTCTCACATTTTTCAGAAATAATTCATAATGAAATAATAAAGTGAATACCTCGAGACCTTCTTTAGTTACCTTTTAATTTTAAATTATAAAAACTTCATGCATAGCAAAAAATGTGAAATAAAAAGCCATCTAATAATGAATCACAAGATGGAACAACAGTTAACATTTGACCACATTAGCTCCTTCTCTCCTTCCCTCTCTCTCTCTCTCAAAATAAATTGCAGATACAATTCAAAAGTCATCCCTAAACTTCTGGCTCCCCTTCCTAGGTCTGCATCTAAGAGCGCAGATTATGTAAACCTTGGAATTTATACAAATAGGGCACAGAGGGCAACACAGAACACAATTATACATGGCAAGCCCAAAATCACTGTACTGAAATTAGTGGTTTTAATAATTTTCAATATAAGTGAGGATTATATATGTCTTTCACATGCTGATCTGTAAATTTTTATATAGATGCCATCATATTAAAATTATTTTGCAATTTGTATTCTTATTTTTTCCATGTTAAGGAATGTGTGTCTAAATAATTATGACAGCTCTGTAGTATTCCATTTTATAAACAAGCCACAATTTATCCATTACCCTCTGGGAGTTGTTAATTTTTTCCTTTTTTTTTTTTTCTCTATTAACATTAGTGCCGCAATGAACATCCCTGAGCAGGCATCCCTGCTCACATAAATGTGAATTTCTTTAGGGAATAAATATACCTGGAAACAGAATTGCTGGCAACTAGGCTTTAGATACCGTATGTTGCCAAATGCATCTCTGAGGGAGCCTAGGCTATGGTGACAAATAGATTCCAAGATACAGTGCTTCAACTCAATAGCAGTTTACTTCTCATTCACCCAAAAGCCCAGAACAGCATGTGCTCTGACCTTCACAGTTGCTTGAGTGAATACTAAGCAACCTGCAGAGTGCACTGGTCTCTGCTCCACACCGCTATTCAGGTCACCATGCCAACAGAAATTCTGCAATTTTTAACACGTGGCTTCCAAGTTTCCCTAGGCATTGCCACTCCACTCAGCCAGAAAGACAACAGTGCATGCAGAAGGACATCCCTTTTAATCCCATCCCATTGGTAACACTCAGGTACGTCACCACATCTAACTGCAGGGGAAGCTGGGAAAGGTAGTGTGGCTGTGTGTCCAGGAAGGAGAGGGGAATGGATTTGATAAAGACTTAATCTCTGCCTGCTTCATTTTCCAAAGCAGTGGAAGTAATTTATATTTCTTCCAGGCGGATACAAGAATTTCAATTCCTTCACAGCCTTACTAACACTTGATCTTGACAAACTTTGCCATTTTCTCAAGATAATGGATATGTAATAGCCTAGCACTGTGCTTTTAATTTGCTTCTGTTTGATGAGCAGTAAGGTTAACGTATTTGCATATGTTTCTTTCCCTATCATTTTTTTTCCTCCTCTGTTTAAATCAATTGCTTCATTTACCCCCTCAGCTTTTCCTT